TTGACTCAATATTTAAGCTTCGATTTTTTCTCAACCAAAAAATAATGCTGTTGAGGTTCAATTACATAAATTTGAAATTATTGACACTGTCAACACATTTGTTTACTCGCAAAAACTTAGAAGGTCATCAACATGCTAAATTTGACATTATGATAGTACGCTTATTTTAGACTTTATAATTTTTTTCAAACAAACTATAAATATGCACTCTACTTATGACTTAAAGTTTTTTTTTTAATTTAATTCCATTTAATTATGGAGACTTCAAAGACCTACTTAGCATGAGCCACTATTTAAAGTTATTGAATATTGATATTTAGTGGTGAGATGTTCATTATTAGCTATTAGGGAAAGTATTGAATACATGGTAGTAAAATGAAAGGATATCTTGCATTAAATCAGTCAAAATTACAAAAGCGGCTCGACAAAAAGACGAGCACAACAAAATAAAATAGTAAAAGTAAGAAATGAGCTGTATGAAAAAAAATTCGTTCACGCACAAGCTCTAACAAAAAGGAAATTGTAAGAGATACCAAGAAGGCGTCTCTCATGCTTATTGAGAGGAATGCATTTGAGTATCAAAACACTAGAGTTAGCACCTGTGTTAGCTAAAATATCAACTGCTATGTTAGTTTCTCTATAAGTGAAATACCAGTTGATGTTAAAACAAGGAAGAAATAAGGAGATTCTTTTCCACAAGACCAAAGTAAACCAAGGAGGATGTAAAACATTTGTGCATATTTTAAATATAAACATTGAATCAATTTCAAAGTGTAGGTGAGTAAACCCTAATTCCTTTGTGATTTGAAGCAACATTGAACAACTGCCAAATTTGAGTAAACTGTGTTAAACGAAAGGCAATGAGCTCCAAAAAAGAGTAGAAAATTACCCAAATAATCTTGAAATGTACCACCCGCTGCAGCTTTATAATGACGAAAACTGACATTAAAGTTGATTTTGATAAAAGGACCCATATGTTTTTTTCCAATTGAACTTTGGGAATGCAGCCAAGTATCTGTTTAACATTTAAGAAACTTCTCAAAAAATCAATCTCCTTGGAATGTTGCTTGATATTGTTATACGAAAGAACATTGCTAAAGAAAACATTTAATGTTAAAAGTAATTTTGTCCTCATTGTGAGATTGTTGATTATGTTTACGAGAATGACATTCCATCCATAGAAGCCAAGAAACAATTTAGGGAATTAGGCTTTGAAATTGTTTGTTTGAAAATTTTCATCTACAACTATCCAAACAATGATCCAATGAAAGAAAACTACATTGCGAAATGGAAATCTTGAAAAGTGCAACCACTCAAATCCAAATGTTAATAGAAAAACTGCAAGAAAAATATAACTGGTTAAAAGATTCCTCCTCACGTTTGCACAACAGGAAAACCAAAGGAAGATTAGTTATTTCATCTTTAAAATGTCATCAATTGGAAGGAATTTGAAATGAAGCCTCCAGACGAAGAAGGATTGTTATGGTTTGAGTATATTGTTCCAAATACTATCCATCTCAGACCAAACATGGAATTTGAAAAGAGATGAATCAATGAATTTAGAAAAAGAGGACCCCACAATTGGTTTTAGACAAAGTTTATCTTTTTTCCCCCTATCAAACGGAATGAAAACAATGTGATTAGTCTATTAATGCCCCACAAAAAAGTACAACTTTGAATAATCCCAACCATCCTCTTGTCAAAGCTTCGATACCTTTAAATTTTCATAAACACCCTCGTGTTTCTTTAGAGGTTCTGAAAGAGACTAGTTATCATTCAAGAAGCTTAAATCCCTACTACTTGGCTCCAACACAAATAAAAGTTCAGCATTTTCTCTTTCTTTTAACATTTCTCTCAAAGTGATGGAATCTCTAATTTTTTGCTTTGCAAAGAGTGAGGTGAGTGCTCTTAAAATATTTCAGCTTCATGAAATGAGACCATAGACACTTTTAAGCTCACAACTTAAACTAGAGTTTACAATAATTAATTTTCATAATCTGAGAAAAATTCCTGCAGCCTAAACCATTAGCATTTTTAGGCTTACATAAGTCTCTTCATGAAGTCCGTTCAATGCTTTTCCCATGCCCTTTCCAAAGAAACTTGTTGAAGATTCTTTAAAATTATAATTGCATGCTTTAGGACATTTTGACAATCTATAGATTATATAGAGGTAAGGAGGAGATGATACATTTTAAAAGAGTAATACGACCATTGAATGAAAGGAAATAAATTTTTTTAACTTTTCAGTTTCTTAGTAATTTTGTGAATCTCTTCATTGAAGATCTAATGCCTATATTTAATTTGAGCCAATTGGATTCCATGATCTAATGCCTTATTATCGAAACTCATGAGAACCACTTCTTGCTCAATTAAAAGACCTTAAAAATAATCAATGACAAATCACCATTAATTTTTTTTTTATTTTCAAAACAATAATAGCTTGCTACATATATGTAATGCAAGCATGAAAGAAACTCAGATGAAACTTGTAAAGAAAATCTTTTGTGGAAGAAGATCAATCTCAAATTGGATAACTTCATTTAGTTTTTGGCGGGCCACAAACACCTCAAATTCCAGTACTTTACCATTGCTAAAATCCTCTTCAAATTGGCGAAACCAATTTTTAGCTCCAATAAATTTACCTGAGATCTCACCAGAAAACCTTCTAGTTCTAATCATCAAGCTTAGTTGCAATAGTTTTAGGCAATTTCCATATTCGATCTAAGAAGAATAGCTACCATCAAGCTTCGAGTTTTCCTTTATAAGAGATAAGAAATTTTCATTTTTAGACCAAATAATCAAAAATTTAAAAGGTTTGTAAAGAGAAGTATTGGTAAGAGAAATTTTGGTTAACATGGGGGCATGATCCACTCTCATATAACTTAGATGAAAAACTTCTGTAAATTAAAAAGAATCCATCCAGTTATGATTGAGAAGAATTCTGTCGAGTCTTTCAAAGACTTTGACCCTTCTCGAAGTAAAAGGTTTATCCATGAATTTAGCTTCAAAAACATTATCACTAGAGATATTATCATAAAATTTTTGCATCACAGAGACAAATGGGGGAAGACCACCCTTTTTTTGCTAATGGAGAAGTAATAATGTTGAAATCCCCTCCCACTAATTATGGACAAACAATATTGTCTTTAATTAAATTAAACTCATGCTAAATATCAAATCTAGCTAAATAAGTGAATCCAACACAAATAATAGTGATTTGGACTTTGCAATTAAAAAATTTCACCTCAAAAATGAAGAAATTGGGGATTACCAACAAGAATACAAACAACCACCTCCTTTCTCCAAAGAATATAGATTCTGAAATTAAAATTGCAGGCATATTTGAAATGATACAAGCTTCATGTTATTTTTGGAATATTTTTTTTTTCTGCGATCATCAGTTCTAATAAAGCAAAACATCTAAACTTGTGAATTTGACACAGATTCAAAATCCTATTAGAGGCACCAAGCTTAGAAACGGGGGTCTAAGTTGTTAGGCTGAGTTTGTTTGGTAAGATTTCCATTTGGTTCCTTGTTGATACTTGCAAGACAATATCTGTATTGTCTTCCCCTTTATTTGATATTAATTTTGGATGTGGTATAAAGCGGCTTTCAATTGTTTGCCCAAATATTTTGAGTTTAGAGCAATACTTTAGTTTGTACTCCATTTCAACATTTTGCCAATAACCCACATTGGGAGTAACCATCCATACTTCATCTGGTAATGGGAGAGTAATATCTCTTCCAACCATAACCCTAGTAGCCGAAGGTTTGCTTAAATTTTAAGTAGCCAAATCCACTTTTGTCAGTTTAACAAATATAGCTCCCAAGGAATACAATACTTTTTGATTAAAATAATAAAGAGAAAGTCTGAGAAAAGTAATCCAAATAGAGATTATAGGTACCTCATTATCTGGGTCAAAATTAGGCGAGTATTCTCAATGAACCATGGTTTACAACACATCCAAGCATAAACTTGCACTCTTTCTAGCTTAATGATTATGTGCCACCTATCTAGAGCCCCAATTTGCTATTCTCCCATAAGTATTAGGTTCTCAAAATTTATTTTCATGATTTCCATTTTTTGGATGCCCGTAAGTAAATTTTCCCATCTGAACAAAATGTAACGGTGCAACCAATTTTGTGTATTTTCTTCAGAAAAGAAAAGAACTAGTTTAACATTTTTCTTACTAGCTTTCTTTAGTAGTCAATCCAAACAACCATGAGAATCCGAGTGAAAGGATTGTGGGAAAATTAAAGATGTCACACACACACACACACACATATAGATATAGATATATATATATATATATATATATATATTTGTAATGCATTTACATATTTAACATTCAATCTTATTGGCAAAATAAGACGTTAATGGAACATGAAAACTTATTTAGTTTTACTAAAGTTCAGTTTATTTATAAAGTTTTATGAAAAATCTAAAAATTTTATTTTGCTCATCGTTCCCACAATTTGGATTGCACGACATCTATTTACTTCTCTAACAATTATACTTTTGAAAACTCCAATTAATTGCATTTTTGAATTTATCGGGACGTAAACCAGTCATTTTATCCCATTCAAAATTTTGATCTGCACGAAATTGAAAGGGGTTGACAATAAATAAATAAATATTTATTTATGAGAAATATTACCCTATTTAAAAATTTCAATTAATTTAAAGTTATTTGGGTAGTTAAAACTTTAGTCTAAAAAAAATCGGCTGGTAACACACGAATAATTATTATGTTAACACACGAGAGTATTCCTCCATATTATTCAAGTGTTATTATGTTATTATAACATCAGAAAAAATTCTCAGATTACACATCAATAACACTTGAATAACACGTAATAACACCTGAATAATATGAGAGAAATATTTCTCTAATTTTTTTTTTTTATGTGTGATATGATTTCATTAGACTCCAGAATGTGGAAGGCTGATTTAATATTTTTTCTTTGTTTGTTTGGACACCAGTTTACGTTCCATCTATATGCTTAAGGTATGGCAGGCGCCAATCCGGTTTTACCTTGCCTTCATTCCTCTCTTTCCTAATAAATCTTAAAACCCTAATACTGTCGGCAAACTTCTGTGTGCTTTGGCATCCCTTGATTCTGTGGGGGCTTAATTCCTTACCATGGATGACGACACCGACCTCCATGATTGGGAGATGGTCCCAGAATCGAACCCCTTCGACAACCTTAAATCCGTCGAAGGCCTCGACGAGGACACGGAAGATGGGGCCATCAAACCCGACTACTTTGCCCTTCAATCTAGTGGCCGCCGCCAAAGTCCGTCGGAGGAGGAAAGCGATGCGATTGCTAACGATTCCGATAACCCTAGCTGGGTCGACCCGGATTCGGACTCCAGGTTCCTCGAAACATCCAGAGGGAAGTTGGGTTTTGTTGAAATGAAGCATCCAGTACGAACTTCCGACGGTTTTTGGTCAGATGAGTCTTCCGATGGACAGAGGTCCTTGCCTGATAGTGAAAAGGGGGAGCTTGGGAATTTAGGGGATTCGGTTATGGAAGTGGCTTTTGAAGAAACAGATGCTGGGCGTGAGAATGTGGGAGGAGAAAATGGGGGAAATGAGAATTCTGGTGCACGTGCGATGATACCTGTCGGTGATGGTGCTGATTCTAGCGGGGATGAGAAGAGTGAGATTGTTTGGTGGAAGATGCCTTTGGAGTTGCTCAAGTTTTGCATTTTCAGGGTAAGGCCAGCTTGGTCGATATCCATAGCTGCTGCTATGGTGGGGATTGTCATATTGGGGAGGAAATTGTACAGGATGAAGCAGAAGAGCAGGACCATTCCACTGAGGATTGCTATTGATGACAAGGTGAAGCAAGTTTTTACTTATTTGTTGGTTGTATTTCATTTTTCAAACCGTTTTTGAAAGTGATCTTAGTGCTTAGGAAATGATTATAATCTGGTAAACGTCAAAAGTTTGCATTCAAGGACGTGGATAAAAAAAATATAATTCATGGAAAAATATAACTAATGCCATCAGAGTTTTTAATTTGGGCTTTAATCTGTCTTGTATTTTTCACACTTTCTTTTATCTTCATCTTCTTAATGGATAGCCTTTCTCTCTGAAATTCATTAGAAACTGCTTGAAGCTATGTCTGCTTGATTTTTTTTTTTTCAAAATTCGCAAAATTCGAGTTGGCCAATAAAAATTCGAGTTGGCCAATAAATTGTGTTAAATTTTAATTAGTTTTGTTAAAATTTTCTCCAAGTTAGTGTAAATGCAACAAAAACCTCTAATTGCACTCAACACTGAAGTTGCTAGCAATTTACAAATATTTTACTTTCAGTCAATAAATCAAATCATGTCCTGTAGTTGTTAGTAGATGTGCGGAGTGTATGGCTCATATCTTGTAAGCTTGAATTGTTTCTGATATTGGTGCCACTCATGTAGGATCAAAATTTGAGTTAAGCTTGGGAGATCACTATTGTTCAAAGTTTTATATGTGCTTGCTGCTTGAACGGGTGTTGCAAAGTTCTTGCTGTTGTAAATGCAAAAATTAGAATAGACTCATTGGATCTGTCAAACAATATTTTTAGACTACACTTTTGGTCAGAATAGAGGGACTTCTTAACTTTCAGCCAACTTTCTGTGATGTGAGACCAATGTTGGTTTAGGGTTAACCTTGCCAGTCCTTTTTGCTTATGACCGAATAATTGATGACCTTATGGCGAGTTAAACGTGAACTTGATATTTTTTTAAAAAATTAGAATATGAAGTTCTCAAACACCCAACAATCATTTTTGTTTTTAAGCATATATGGTTGTTTGACAATGGATTTAGAGGTTATGCTGAGGTTGAGGTAGTAGATAGAGATATGTTGTAGCAAAGCAGACGTGCATACATCTTTTTTAATTGTTCTCCTTTACCAGCTTACATCTAAGCCACAAACTTCTTGTGATTTTTTCCATTATCACCATTGGCCTCACTGATATTTTGAGCATCAGATTCTTGTGATTCTCTCCTTCATTACCATTGTCATCAAAGGCATTTTTCAACACCATAATGATATAAGCTCTTGCAAGCCCTACTTCTTTTGTGTTTTGGCTCAAGGGATAACCTTAATTTAGTTAAATGATGAATAGTTGCTGAATTAATTTAACAAGAGATTTTATCATAGGTGTGTTTTATGAAAGAGTATAACCTCATTCGCTTTATTTGTATCCAATTTTCTTATAGCTTGTAAATTCGTCAAACTATGCTCTTGGTAATTATTTTACTTAATATAGGGCTTCTTTCAATCTTTATGTCTGGTTCATTTTGAAAAGCTATCAAATCCTGGTGATGGATCCATAAACTTCTTCAACATCTCAATGGAAGAAATCATTGTTTATATCATATTGTTTAATAGGCCATCCATGATTATAAAAATGCAAATAGTGTTTCTTTTTTTAACAGGAGTAAATTTTTCTTGATGCTTAATCTTGTATGATTGAGTATATTCTTTTGTTACCAATCTTATTTTGTATCTTTCCAGGTTCCCATCTGCTTTGTTTTATTCCATGAAAATCCATTTGTATCATATTATCTTCTTTTATTTTATAGTTCATAGATATCCATGTTTTTTTTAAGATATCCATATATTCTTGCATGTCTTCTTTTTAATTTATATTTTCAAGTGCCTTAAATAGAGTTTGTGGATTGTAAATGAAGTTGGTGTTGATGTTGGTTAGGAAGGCTTTATAAGGAGTTGTATTAGGAGATATAATACAATTGGTTAGTAGCGGGTTGGTTAATGTTATTTGATAACAGTTTTGAGTTTTGGAGTTGCTTGAGTTCATGGTTAGATTTGTTTCTTTTTGTATAGACCTAAAGAGTTATAACTAATACAAATTTTGTATTTGTATGATTTTGGGTTGCATGTATGCCAAGATGAAAAATATCATTAAATTTATCTTCAAATTTAGAATTCTTCCACTGAAGATAAGTTTGGGTAAAGAAGCTATGAATTTCATCAAGAGTGATATCCATTGAAGCAAAGAGTTTTTTTGTGGGTGGATTATAACATTGTACTTCTTTTTTGTGGCAGAATTTTCGATGAGTACACATTTGTGAGTTTTTTGGATTAGGTTTTTCTCTATTATGTTTATGGATATAAATACAAGTAATTTATCCAAAATTTTAGGAGATATGTGTAGGAATGAACTCTATCAAAATTTAGGAGAATTTTGGAATTAACTATTTTGAATGGTATTCTATTAATTAAATAGGTAGCTATTATAACTAATTCTCCCTAATGTTATTCTGATATTTGATTATGGAGTAGTATCATAATAACCTCTAAATGGTGATCATTTGTCATTTCTGCTTTTTTATTTTGTTAGGAATTATGGTAGCTTGATTGATAGAAGATATTATCTTTCTAGGAGAAGGATGATTTTATATGCTAAAAATAATTATCGGTATTTTCAGTGTAGAAAAATTTAATGTTAGGGTTGAATAAATTCTTTATAATAATAGTGAATGAGATAGTAGATTGCTAATATTATTTTCTTGTTTAATTAAAAATGCATATGCCATTCGAGTGCAACATAAAAAAATATAACTAAGTTAGCGACCATAGAGATTTTGAGGACTTTACCAAGGTATCGTAATGAATCAACACAAAATGATTAGAGAATCTAAAGCTACTTTCAGAAAAGGAAATACAATAATGTTAAACAATTTCATAAGTTTAATAGTGAAAATTTTTAATGTTTGTATTTATAAAATAGAAGAAAATATTTATTAAAAATTTGTAGAGAAAATGTGCCTTAATTTATAAGGGTGTATTCATTTGACGTTAGTGATGCGACATATTGCATAACAATTGATCTCGATCCTCAGGAAGTTATAACCCATATTTTTATTTAGCTTGCCCATTGTTTTCCTCGTAGTGAGATCTTGAAAAGCGTAACGTTCAGAAAAAAAAATTGACTTTACAATTATGGTACTTTGTAAATTTGTGGATAGATAAAATGTTGACTGCAATATGTGGAAGATGCAGTACGTTACTGTGGGGTAAGTTGGGATAAATAGAGATGTCTCTCTCTCTCAATTGTTCTTAAACTATGAGAGACTTAAAAAATATAAGAGTTAAAAATTTTACTACTCTGAGCAAAATAGCAAGATTTTGATATTTTTTTTAAAGAATTGAGGAAATTATTTAATTTATCAATTTCTTTTGAATTAGGTTCTTCTAACTCACCCATCAGGCTTATTTTACTTTTGTATTTATTCCCTCCATAGATTTGAGGCTTTTTGTGAACTTATAATATGTCTTCGGTATGCCCTTTTTTTTGCAATAGTTGCACTGAGGTTGCCTTTAGAAGAATATTTTTTGGCCTTTTTTAAGAAGGTTCAGTGAGATAATTTCGTACATTGAGATTTAGATGTTATTATGGCAATATCTCTACAGGACATGAAGACCATTCTTCATCATCATTATTCTTCTTTATTCGGCCTGTACAAGAATACTTCTTTTGGATTCACATTTGGTCAATTTCATTGTTTAGTCCTACCAAAAGCTCAAAAATTTTCTCTCGCTTTACAAATTGGTTGAAAATCATAGCAGCCTCATAGCATGTCATCTTGATATCTTAGTTGTAGTTCAACTCTAACCATTAAAATTTCATTGCATTAAAGTATTCAATGATAAGAATGTTATCTTGTTTTGTAGTTGTGAGCTTTATCTTGATTCTTAGATGAGTTCAATGTCTTTCATTTTAGAGTAGGTTTGTTTAGCTTGTGTTTCACAATCATGTTATGATAATTAAATCAGCTTATTTTTAAAGTACAAATTTTGAGTCTTTAGGCTCCTATGATAGAGAATCTATAAGGTATTAGGTCTTTCCCTTTTTTTAGAAAGGACTTCATGATTTGAGACTATTTAAGATGATTTTTTTCGTTCAAGCGATAAGATGCTTGAAATCTTTGATATTCTCTTTTGGTCTGGCTCTTACTATTAATCATCGTCAACTCCTTTGAAGGGAAGTCAAAGAATTTAGATATAGTGAATAGACAAAGAATTTGATAAAATGAGTAAGGTAAAGAATAGAAACCAAATTCTAGAAAAAAAGAACAAATGTTAGAAAGAAAATCTTAATCTTGCTTAAGTATCATATAGAAAACAATATAGATTTTTTTTCGTTCTCCACTTTCTCTGTACAACAGTGGACGTTTAAACATGTATGTATGTATATATCTCCAAGAGGCATTACAAAATAGGGATAAATCAAAAAAAGAGGGGAAATATAAGATGTTGATGATTCTATTGGGAAACACATGGAATACAATTCAAGGGCCATAGAGAAATTGATTCAATAGTACAAGACATTGATATGTGTGCCTGAAATTATTTGCTATGATTGAAGAGTGAGTGAGCCCCACTGTATCTTGTTACTGCAATGTGGTATTGTAGCAGAATTTAACTAATGCTTTGGTAAAGGACATCAAATTTTCTCATATAATTTTTTGTATCATCAGAGAATTATAAGGAGTAAACAATAGAATAAAATATTTTAGGAGAAGATATTAAGGACCTCGAGGAGTATTCCATGTTCAATTGAATAGGATATTTTTTAAACCATCATTATCGTGCTCGTCTACAACAGCATGCTTGTACTGACCACTTGGTTAAAATGTTTCACTATTGCCCTAAATGATGGACCAAATAACTCTTTTTTCTTTACTTTTTGTTTTTTCTCCGCTTTCTCTTTTATCTCTCTGCTTTTTCTCTTTTTGTCAGCCCTTTATTAACCATCTTATTATCTTTTATTCTTAGTCAATCAATAATATTTTATGACCACAAACAAAGTCATGTTACTAGCTGC